ATAGGATCTAAATGTTCTACATCTTGGATAAGTAATGGATTACCAAAACGAAGAGCACTTTCTAAATTCTTGATAAACGAATCATCCAAGAAACTGGTTACGGTAATCTTCTTTTCTTTAAATTCATTCATTAAGAATGCAGATGCTTGACCTGATGGATCGATTATAAGTGGATATCTGTTAAAACGTTTAAGCATGATAGCATTCTCTGTACAAAGGTCATCTGCTGGAAGTGAATTAGCTTGCCAAGAAAGGCGATCATCAGCTGTTGATAAATATTCAGTCAATGATAGTTCTTGTTTAAATTGAATATTAGCACTAATAAGGTGGTTTGTCAATTTGTTCAATAAAATTTCACGGTATTGTTGATCAAAGTAACCTCCATAAGCAAGGAATGCTGCAGAGAGTAATACATCACCAACAATGGTTCCCATTTGTGTTTCAAATGTCTGACTACCGCTTTCCCATCTTTGTTTTTCTGATGATAAACTACTAAGAAGTTTCAAACTACGATCAACCTTGTCTTTAACTTGTATCATTTCATCTTTGATGTATCCACATTCTTTCATTATAACACCATATTCATCTTTATAGACTGCAATCGTTGCCACTGTTTCCTTGATCATTTTATTAATAGCTTCCAATTTAACTTTTGTTTCTGCTTGTTTCTTTTCTAATTCTGCAACCTCGTGGCGTAATGGCGCAACACGATCTAAAATATCTGAATAAATAACTTGTGCCTCTACCCACTTGACCAAAGGTCCACAAGCTTTACTAGCTCTGTTAACCAATTCGTAATTGTATGATTTATTGCTTAAAAATTCATTCCTCATCTTGTCTCTAAGGCTTTTGGTCATGTTTTTTTCTGTATCAAAATTTACAATACTAGAAATGAAATCCTCTCTACGAATAGCTCCTTGAACAGCTTTCCAGCCATCAATCTGAAATCCAAGTAAGGTACAAACAGATGTCATAGCAAGTTTCACAGCTTCTGGTGGATTGGCCATTGAACGAACTTCAGTTAGTTGTGTTTTCCTAATACCTTGTACACTTCTTTTGGCTTCTTCCACAGCAGGTTGTGCATTTTCAATATCTCTTAAAGCAATAGCACGTCTTTCCTCGATTTCTTTATTTTGAATTTCAACAGCTGTATGAATTTGTCTTGATTCTTTCTCATTTTTTTCTGCTGTTCTTTGATCCTTAACCATTTTATTCAATTTTTCATTGGCTTCTATATCTTTTATTTTTAATTCTTTTTCTTTGATGCTTAAACTCTTTTTCAATTCTTCCACTTTAACCACAGTATCTCTCAATTTCTCTAAACCAATATTTAAATGGCGTTGTTGTTCTTCCAAATCTTCACGTTTTTCATTAAATAATCTTACATAGTGATTAATAAAGTCCAAGAAATGACGTGGTGTAACATAATTATATTTTCCTTGACGTTTACTCAACTTGGCATTGATTTCATAAAGTGATTGATGAACAAAAACAAATGCATTGACAACAGCATTACGATGTGTTGGTGGTAATGATAATGACCGATATGCAACTGGGAAATTGGATGAAGGAGAGTAACTTGTAAGATCCAAATCTAAACTTTGAGTAAACTCCATACCAACTTGGAAAAAAGCTTGGTCTGACCAATCGCCAAACCAATCAAGCACACAACGATTGAACAAAGCTGGTGATGTTGCAGCTCGTGAAGCTAAACCACCTTCTGGTGGATTCATTGTGAATACGACATGTAGATTTTTCATTACTTGTTGTGTAAACCATTTATACAATTCCTCATGCGAATCTAACATTAATCCTTCTCTTTGAGATCCTTCTTTACAACCAGTCATCAATGTATTAAATTCATCACCTTCAAACAATCCAGGAACTTCAGCGTTTGCCAGGAGTGTATTCATACGTTCCAAGAAACCAGAATCTAATACATTGGATTCATCCAATATGAAACAGATTTTTTCACCTTTACAACCAGATCGTCTTAAAACTGTTCTCAAATCTTCATCAAAATCTTCACCAGTGTATTTATTATGAGCTTTAATTTGGAATACACTTAAACCATTCATCCAAGCGACAAATCTGGATAATGTGGTTTTACCAGAACCACTTACACCAATTAAGAGCAAATGTCCTTGCATTTGACGGAACACACGATCAATTCTTAAGACATGATCCAACACATCATTGAATAATACAAGTGGAACATCCAATTCTTCTTCGTAAAATACTTTGAGTCTAGCCTTGACATAATCACGCAATTCTTCACGTTCAACTGGGGTATAATATCTAGATAACCAGTTTGAGAATAAAATTGGTCTTGATAAAGCATCAGGTTGATTTAAATTGGGAAAGTGTTTCAAAGCAATCGCATCAATATTTTCATCAGTCCATTTTCTTTCATCTTCGGTAACAAGACGATCTTGGAATAGACGAAGAGCTTCATGTGCCCAAATTCTAATTAACCCTTCAAGAGAAAGAGTTTCCATAGGTTTAATGGCTTCATATATACCTCTCATCCATCTTGTCAATTCACGGGGTGAATAAATATAATGTGCTTGAATATCAGGTGTAAATCTTTTTTGAGACATCAAATAGAATTCTACCATTGAAGAAGTGAGATTTTCAGCATATGCACGGAGTGCTGGAACAACTTTTAACATAGCACGTGAGAAGGTTCCATAAATTTGGTTGAGAGAAATTTCACCAGGATAATCAACCATAATCAAAGGTGCATGTCGAAGGAATCTGTGTGTTAGAGGAACTCGACCAGGATCAGTGGGAGGATTACATGCACCAACAAATTGAATTCTTTCAAGTCTAACCCATGATTTATCAGAGGTTCTCCAATAACCACCACATTCTACCAATTGTCTCAGGAAGGAGATAACACGTTGTGTGCCATATTTATCAGTTGCAGGTAAATTAATTTCATCACAGAAGACTACTATCCAACGACCAATTGAAACAGGAGATAAAATAACACCATTTAATGTTTTTCTATATTCACAATATTGTTCAAAAGTTTTAAGAATTAGCTCAGGAGTTGTGGCGCTTGAGAAATTGAGGCCAACAACTTCCATGTCAGGTAATTTTCTAAGTGCACTGAAAAGAGTCATTGTTTTTCCTGAACCTGGAGGACCGCAAAGCATCAAAGGTTTGTGCTCCGAAAGCCACGAGTATAATACTTCTTCATGTCTTACAGTGTCGATTGTTGGGATAACTATGTCAGCTTCTGCAACCTTATGAGTTTCAATTTCAATTGTAGGGACTTTTCCAGTCCATGATACCCATTCACCATTATTAATTTGTACGTCATAATCTATGATAGAGAATCCATTCTGTAGAGGAGGTAAGTCAATTGTTGCAATTCCACGAATATAATCACCAAATTTTGAACGTAACTCAAGTTTGGCATCACCAGAGAAACTCCAAATAATACCAAGTATCAAACGTTTTACTACATAATTTTCCATATGATCAGCAGTCATTGGGAAATCAGGATGCTGCACATTGTATTCAATAACATTTCTTACTGTTTTGTTTAATAATGAGAATAAAGTTGTTAATACACGCATCCTTGTGAAATCCATAATATGTTCCAATTTTTCTGCATATTCAAGAGCTTTAGTAACCAGTCCATCGTCAGTAAGGTGTTTAGAAAGTATAGCGGCAATAGCACGCTGAGTACCCATGTGTGGTGAATTGTTTTCTTCAGCGCTATCGCTTCTTCTTATAGTTGTTATACCATCTTCTTCATTATCATCCATTGGCATATTTTTAAGAGTTTCCAAATAATTACTATAGATCATCTTAAGTGTTACAATCTCTTCACTAAACCATACCATACCACAACGACTAACAGTAGCTAATGTTGCATATTTCAAATTTTCTACCTCAAACATAATTCTTACATTTCCTGGTAAACCCAGACGTTCACCATTAGGTAATGTCAATAATCTATTGTCATCCAATACACTGCAAAATAATAATAATAATAATTAATCAATATTGTTGCGTTGAATAAATTTTTCACTTTCATATACTCACCTGTTCAAATTTTCTACCCATTCTGGATCCACATCACCATCAAATATAATCCAATGTCTTTTTACTTTTTCACCACGCACATTATCAATAATTTTTCTCAATATATGAGTAAAAAGACCATCGGTCCATTCACGAGTTGTATGATCCAAATTACCATAAAGAGCATCTTTTGAAACTGCTTTTGGATCAATAACATATGATATTCCTTCAACACCTTCTACACGACCTAATGCTTCCAATAAAACTTTCCAAGCTAATGATTTTCCAGATCCAGATGGGCCCACCATCATCAAACCATGATGAATGTTTTGAATTTGGTAAAGTTGAAGCACTTTTTCCATCCACATTTGGCCATCAAGAAGACGTTTTTCTTCACACACATTTTTAATTTCAGCTGTAAGCTTTTCAAGATCAACGGGTACATAATCGACTCCAGGAAATACATCAGCGAGTAAACTATATATAAATGAAATTAAATTAAATTAAATAATAAAATAATAAACAGAGACATGGTCTGGGATTAAATAAATACTTGCATACCTGGTTAATAATGGAATATCATCTGCAACTAGTTTAGGAACAATAGTTTCTCGAACACTTTGAATTAAAATTTCTTGTTCAGGTATTGGTTCAGAGATCTTAATATTTTCTGAAGAGTCCTTTTCACCAGACTTAATCAATCCTCTTAAAGTTTGAAGGCGTTCACGTTTTAAATTACCAGCACTGACAAGTACACTCTTCAAAGCTCTTAGACCAAAATCGTAATGTGCCTGTGGTGACAATTGTTCAGCACAAAGATTGAATAATGGTACTACTTTTGATGCTAAAATTTCAGCTGTACGGAAACCTTGAGAATACAACATCACTTGTGCTATAAGTTCACGATCTGGTTTTGTCATGGCAATACTTCTAAATAACTTCTTCAAGTTATCGGGTAAATTAGATCGACCAGCATATCCGGGATTCATTGTAATAAATATACCTAAATAAATATAATTTTTAAAAGGCAAGAAAAAAAAAGTGCAAATTGTGAATTGTAACTGATTTGTTTAAAATTATGATTTACCAGTATTTGAATTGACTCTAAGATTCTTCCCTACAATTTCTACTTCTGCACTAGGATTGTCAACTATTGCTTTCAAGCCAAGTTGAATTGTTTGTACTTGTTGTGATACGGCTGATAAAATTCTTTCTTCCAAACGATTGAATTCATCAAAACATCCCCATGCTCCTACTTGACAAAGACCTACAAAGATACGACCCATAGCTTGGAAATCGAAATTTTCGTCGCAGCAAAATACAAGAACAAATCTACCAAGTTGTACACCAAGCGCTTTGACAGATTCAGTATTATGAGTGACTGTTAAATCACGAAGAAGCATTCTACGATTTCCATCTACAGTAAATCCATAATAACTATCATTTTCTAACGTTTCGATCATGAATTCCCAAGCGTAATCACCAACAGATGAATTATCAAGAATTTGTAACTTGCATTGATTATTATTATTAATAATAATTGATGGAATTTTTTTCATATCACCACCATTAATAAATAAATTGATATCATTATCGTTTGTCATGTTGTTATTTTTTAATTCACATAAAGGGCTTCTTTCATCTTTAATTAAATTCAAGTTGTTTACACAGAAACCTGAAAGATTGGCAATACGGGCAACAGACTCTGCAATATGTCTTCTTTCCTTATCAAACAAGAATTCTCTGCCTTCAACATAATAGCTACTTGTGTCAAGAAGACCACCAAGAAGTGGCAAACGAACTGTTTCAATATCATCCATTATCATTTCAGTTGGAATATTTTTTTTGTTTAAAATATTTAATTTTCTCAATAGTTTTTCGAAACAGCTTTGATCATTAAGGAACTTGTTATAAATTTTAATTGCTCCACCATACAATTCATTGTTATACCTATAAAATTCAAGTTTCAATCCGAGAAACTTGCCACACTCTTCTAACTTATTGGTCATGTCATTTTTTACAATTTTCGCAGAAGTGGAAACTGATTTCTCAAATCCACCAGCAATCCATGCACCAATAAGCCATGCAAATGATTTGACTTGTTCATCTGTTGAATCGAAACCAATTACATCATCAAGAACTTTTTTGAAATTACCATTTAATGTCGAGAAATGTACTTCTGAAGGTTTGTACATTCTACAAGCTTTTTGAATTGATTTTTTATGATTCAAAAATTCTTTAATACTAACTTCCCATTTGAATTCACCATTAGTCAGATCAGGAACTTGAGAACAGTAAGAAAAGGCTTGGTTTTGTTTGATTTTTTTATCAATTGAATTATCCAATTCATATTTGAATGTTTTCTGATTAAGTTTAATACAATTCGTAGTTGGATCATGAGAATACCATCTAATCTTGTAACATGGACCATTTGCAGAGTTTTCATGTCGTACATTTGGTTTCTCGGAAATTACAAGTACTAAAATATGTTCATCATTACATGTAAATGGTTCAGCTGGTGATTTTTTATTAGGAACAATCTTATACATTTGACCAACACCACGAGTTATTGAATGAACGTTTCTAGCTGTACTATCATCCCCCATAAGTTTATCGCCAACCACGATCTCTTCGACGGCTTTCTCAGTGCCATTATACATAAGAAATTTGGTTCCTTTTCCCCAACATTTGCCAGTGCCTAAAAAAAAAATACGGAAATTTTTATTTAGATGGAATAAAAAGAGAATAATAAGATAAATAGGAAAAATGATTGTGTTGGAGGTCATACCTCTATTTGGATTTCAAAATAGTACGAAAAAATAAAATATATATTGATGAAAAAATAATCGTTAGTGAATTAATTTTTTTAAATAAATATCCAAAAAAAAACTATACATACGCCGCTGTTTAAATAAATAAATAATTATTATATTAAGATAATATATTTAAAAATAAATTTATGTATGCAATAATTAATAATATAATAATCATTATTATTATTATGTGATTAATAAAGAGAAAAAAATCAACTAAAAATAATAATTTGATACTTGCGTCCAAAAGGACTCCCCCCTAATCTTCCTTCCAAAGCTTGCGTTAAAGTAAGGTAACAACGATCAGTAAGAGGTGTTTGTACTAAACGATCAGGTACGCCAAGATATTCATAACCATAATGGAATTGTGCATTTGCCATTTTGATTGTTAAACGTGATAAAGAATCCTCTAAACTAGAATTAAAGTAAAATCTCATTTGATATAACCATTCAAAATCTTTCGCTGATGAAGTTTTATTTTTGATAAGTTGACGAATAAGATCACGTTGATGTACAATTTCAGTAACAAGATGTTCACATTTTTTTCTTTGGGTTTGTGGCAACTCTTGAAGCACCGTATCAGCTAAAACATCTAATGCACGAAGACATAATTGGAGTGAATTGTTTAATGGTGTAGAATCATTACGATCAGTCTGTTCCATTGTTGTTAAAGCTTTTTCAACAGATTGGGTCCAGATTATTTGAGATGCAACAACCACCAATTGTGTAGGATATTTATCAATCCATTGTAAAAATATTGGAGTATCTAGCTGATCAGCAAGATAAAATTCGCCAAGCTTACTAAAAGCTTCTGTCAACCATTCAGCAAGAGAAACTCTCATTTCTTTTTCAATTAATGTGAGCCAATCATTAATTTTTGGATTTTCTTTAAGTGATATTGGGTGTTTAAACATAACTTTTTCGTTTTCGCGTGAGGCCATGCCAGTAATTATTGTGTTATCTTCATTTAACAAAATATTGGAAATACCAGCAAACATTTTCTTGAAGTGTTTTTGGATTCTTAAAACATCTTTACTGTTACCAATAATTTCAAGTAAATCCTCATCCCCAACAAAGTAGAACCGAGGAAATGAAGAACGTTCACGTTCAAGGTATTCGCCAAGAGCCTTTTGAATTTTACTCAGTAGATCCGCCAAACGTTCTAATGATTTTTGCACATTTTGAATATTTAATACATCAACTATATATGGTGATTTGTACACTTTCTTCATTACTGTTAAAAATTCTGTATCTATATTTTGGAATCTTTGTGATTCAACAGGCAATAAGTGTTTAATGTCAGCACTACCACTAAAAATACCCTCAAGATAAACCCACTGACGCTGCACATCAATCCAAACATCAAATAAAAGATGAATTCTATTCAATTTATCTTCCCAACCAGCAGCCTCTTCCTCAAATGTTTTATAGTAAGGTGACATTTTCATTGCAGTCAAGGAATTTAAATGTTCACCACATTTAGTGAATAAATCATCCCAACCTTTGATCAAACGACATTTATTTTGATAATTAACTAATTCTAAAATATAACTTGTCCATGTTTCTTTGACCTATATAAATTATAAATCAAACAAACAAATAAACAAATAAATAAATCAATCAATCAATCAATCAATCAATCAATCAATCAATCAATCAATCAATCAATCAATCAATCTATAACTTGAAAAATAATAAAAATATAAATGATATAAAAATTAATTACCTGTTTCAAGAATTCTTCAAGAGCCAATTCACCTGAAGCTTGAGTGACAATATCTTTAATAATTTGATCATTCTTTTTAAGATCCAATTCCCAAACATTACCAACAGTCATCTCAGGCAAAAGGAAATGTTTTTCAACGCGCAATGCTTTAAACAATTGTTTCCAATGACGATCTTTCAATGCTTCTGATTTGAGTTCAGAAAGAATTGGATTAACTTTAATGTATTCTTTTAATGTATCCTGAGTAAAATCAAATGCAGCATAAGTTCTGACACGACTTGGTAAATCTTTGGTTTCAGCGATAAAATGATCCAATTCTTGTCTGATTTTACGTGGAGAAATAGATGTCCATAATTTTTCTCTGAGAACGTTAATTTTCTGCCAAATGTTTGCTAAAGCTTCCCAGACTGTTTTAAGATCTTCAAGTTCTTCAAGAATATTATCAAGTTTGTCTTCAGGCGACAATGCCATATCAAGAGCTTCTTTAGCACGACAAACCATGCCATATTCTTCATTAAGTTTAGTAACACGTGTCGTAAAAACTCTAAGAAGATTGATAGCAACATCTGGTTTGATATCTCCTTGAATTGGTTTACTATTATTCCATTCTACATCAATCTCTTTAATTTTAGTTTCAATGATTTTATCTTCTTTAACTACTTTTTCTCGTAACCCATCTAATTAATAGATAAGAATAATAAAATTGATCAATGCATATATATATCATGTGTGTATACACATGTCATACTCATCATGTTAAATAAATTACATACCAATTTGTTCTTGAATTGCGCTATTCTTTCTTGTTAAAATTTCATTAAAAGCACTCCATTCGCCTTCAATTTGTTCAACATACAACCAGTCACTAGGAAATTGATATCTTTGTCTAATAAGAGTTTTTTGACCTTTACGAAATAAATCAACATCTTGATCCCATTTTGTAACTTTACGTTTAAGATCTTGTACAAATGTGATCAGGTTAACCGCTTCACCTGTACCGTTGCTTTCCATTCTTTGATTTTCAAGATCACTACGAGCATGAGAAATAGAAGCATTAAAGTCTCGCATAAATTCTCCAAGTTTAGTGCTGAATTTATTGAGAACGTCACGTTGCCATCTCTCATACTTTTCATTAACTCTGTTTTGTGCTTGTTCGTATTTGACAACTATGGGACCAAATGAACATGACGTCTCAGGATTATCAAAAGTTGATCGAGAATTTTGAATTTCTGTAAGGATTTTTTGCCATTTCTCAAGATCGTCGCCAAGATATGAATAAACCTGATTATCTTCCAAGTCCCATAAAGATTGGAACTGAAACCAAATATTAACGTATTCATTCATTTCTTTTAATTTTTCTTCAACAACATCATAAGCTTTTTTAAGAGCAGCTTCAGGAATTTGAGTTAATAAATCAGAATAACTAGTTTCATTGGGAGCAGACCCGTTGACTTGTAAATAAATTTCATATCGAGAACTTTGAATTCTTGGTAAATTACATACGATTGCTAATGGAATTTTTAAAATAATTAAAAATAAAATTATTAACAGATAAAAAAAAATTTTTTTGAATTAATTAATAAAATAGAATAAAAAAAAATATTATATTTACCAAGCCATTCATGTAATTGGTTATACCAATTAGCTCTAGCTTCTTCAACTGGTGGGTCAAGGTATATTACTTGATTACGAATACGGACCTCATGAACAGAAATTTCAAGATCAGGTTTCTCGATTAATTTAGTAGGCAGTGTTTTTTCACCATCAATAGAATCACTTTTAGTGGCACGACGTTTAGCTTTTTTGACAATTTTACCACTTATGGAAACAACTTCACGTCCTGTTGATTCTCTTGCATTAGGAGAATCATCGCCTGCAATCATGAATTCATTTGTCCATGCAGTAATAGCATTTTCTAAACGTTGAGCCAGAACTGTTTCAATACGTTGATCAAGTTCTGAAACCCAAGATTTAAGATTTGAATAAGATTCTAAGTTAAGTCTGTCAACCTATATTTGTAGCAATCGATTGATTAGAACAATGCATAAATAAAATGTCAAGCCAAATAAAAGATTATTGTTATTTTTACTTACAAGCTTTTGGATTTTATCTAGATTTCCTTGGAATTTATTCTTTTTATATGGACATGTTTTTAATTCATCAATATATCTAGAAATATCTTCATAAGTAGTAATCAATGCATCAACTTTATCTTGGAATATTGATACTTGCTTTGCAAATTCTCTGACAAAAGTTACGTGTTGATTTTCATGAGAATCCATAGAACCAATGTTAGGATGAAAATGACGATCATAAGTTTCTACAAAATAAAGCCACTCATGATTTATTCCCTTAGTAATCTGAGCTTGTACATCATTACGATAACTAGCAACTAGCATAATGATTTCAGGGTGCTCTTTGGCCTTTTGTACAGTTTGTGCATAAGTCCTTACTGTTTCCATAAGACTGACGGCAAAAGGATATACACGCTTGGCAACTTTTGCAAGACTGCTAATATTATGTGGAACTTGATGATCCAACCAAAGTAAATTACGAACTTCTTTAAACAATGTAATAATTTGTGGATCAAAATTAACACCAAGTTGTAATTGACCCTGTGCTCGGTTTTTTGTAATCTCAAATAATCTACCACTAATATTCAAATCACGACGATTACTAATATCAGCTTGCCATGCTTCAAAAATCTAAATCATTTGGGAAAAAATTTATATAATTATATTAAATCCTATGAAATCAATAAATAATTAACAATTAGTATTAAAAGAAAAGTTTTTTTTTAATATACCGGTCTAGTATCTAATTTCTTTTTGAAATTATTACTTTTCTTTTGCAATTGTTCACCATCTTTTTGCAATTCCCATCCTTTACCCAAAACATCTTCAACACGTTTCATGTAAGTTTGTAATTGACGATCTATTTGACGGGCCCAAATCATAGCACCAGAAATAGAAGGCAAATCACGAAGTTGAGCCATATGATTTGCTTGTGAATTGCGATATTGTTCAGTAAATTTAACTTGAAGTTTTGCAATATCATCTTTAACAGATTCCAAAAGCAAAGTTTGATATTCTTGAATTGCACCACGAATCTATGAACATCACACATTGTGAGAATAAATTAAATTAAATTTTTAAATTTTTAAAAATCATTTCAAATTTTTTTTTTTTTGACCATTAAAAAAAAAATGCTTACCTTTGGTCTAACAAATAATGCATTGAATTTAGAGAAAACTCTAAACATTTCATTGGCATTTTTACAAGTACCAAGTCTATCTCTCAAGCTTGCAATAATTTGATTTTCAACACGAGAGACTCGTTCATTGTAAGCGTTTTCCGCATGCATCCAAATTTCAGTTCCCTCAAGTGAAACATCCAACACATCAATATCCTTGACACTTTCGTACGCTAACCTAACTTCTTCCAATGCGTCAATATTATTATCATCATTCAAATGACTCGCAGCTTCTTCTTCACCTTCAACTAAAATTTTTGCAGTATTCTTTGGTTGTGCCATGACCTTTAAGATTGTTTGATGCAATTGTTCATGTTGTTTCCTAAATCCTCTTACAAAATTAACACGTTCTTGTAATTTATCATGGGCTGGATTGATCTTGATTGGAATAAATTTATCTGATCTTTTTCTTGTGACATCACGAGCCACATTTGTAAATTCTTTAATACATTCTTCCCATGTTTTAAATACTTCTTCTGCTCCGGACATCACTTTTTCAAAATCTTCATATCCCATATACATTAAACGACGATTTCCCAACACTTTAAGCAGTTGTTCATTTAAATCACGCGATATTGCTTCTACAAGTGCTAAAGCTTTTTTGATTGGATATGGGCTAAAAAATAATTAAAATTCAACAATAAATTATTGGAGTTTTTCTAATTAAAGTAAAAATAATAGAGAGATGTTTTAAATCATTTTTACTCACGATAATCTTAATTTTTTGTTGAAATGATTAAAAATAATCATTAATGCATCTTTTACTTTTATGATATCAGTTGCTGATAATAATTCATTAAGTGGAAAATCCTTCATAAGTTGATTATACTTGTAAACTAAATAAAAATATTAACATAAAAAAATTATGTTTTTTAGCTTTGGGTTTTCTAAATTATAATAATAAAATGACAAAAATGATATATAAAAAGAACCTTTTTCGGTGGCTTCTTTTAAACCAGTATCAGCTATAAATGATACTGTGGCATGAAAACGTTTTGCGGTTCTCAAAATATCCAAAGTCAATGCTGTAAATTATATATATATATATATATATATAAGAGATATTTAACGTTTAATTATTAAAAGATGATTAATCAAAAAAAGAATGTATATATTGCGACATACAAATTTGATCACTTTTCAATTGTTCGTCAACGCCTGCCAAAGCAGTTTCCATGCTCAACCAAAAATTAATTTCTTGTATGGCAGTGCCACTGGCAGGATCGCGAGATAATTTTGTGACCTTTTGAATTTCTTTAATCCAGCCATTAACATCAGCTTGGAGTTTGTTTAGAAAACTAGAGTCACTCAAAAGTTGTGGATCAATTACATCAACAGTAACACGTTTTGCTTCTTGTTTGCACTAAAAAATCAATAAAAAGCTTAACATATTTATATTTATATAAAAAAAGCATTATTTAAATTGATTATTTTATTTTTATAATTACTTTTTCGACAGCTCTTTGTACAATAGGATGGATGTTTAATGAAATGTCTGGTATGTCGACATTTTGCTGTAAGTGAAGGAGAGATAATTCCAATTCTGCAATTTTCTTTTTTGCCATTGGAATTCCCATTTTAGAATCATCATGTTTCTTGCTAGTGGCGTTTGCTTCTGCATTAACACCTTTTGCACTAATAAAAGCATCAAAATAAGGCGCAACAGCCAAATGAATACAAGAATGTAATGCCTCGTATGGATTTACGCCAACTGATCCGGATTCATTTGAGGCAGGACCAGGTATATTTATGATTTGTATTTGTGATTGAATTGGTCTTGTAGAATCCAAAGTCTGTACATGTTTTATGACTGCAATTGATGCCACATGATTAGAATTGTATGATATTTCTTGTGATAGTTGATAAGAATACGATATTATTGATTGATCATCTGCTTAAAATTTTAATTGAATCATTATGGTTAATATAACTAATTACATAGTGACGGAAAATTTCAAGGTAATATAAGACTATTCTCCCATTTTTCAATAAAAAAATAATACCTTCATCCTTCTTTTCCTCTTTTTCTTTTATGACATATATGACATTAATTTGGGGGTCATTAGCATATTTTCTAAGTTTTTCGATTGTTTCTGATACATTCCATAATGAAGTTTTTAAATCTTGCTCCTCGGCTCCAAGAACTATAGGTAAAAGTTTATTAAGGTAATCTTGTAAAAGTATAGGTTCGAAAGTTGGTGGAGTTATAGCAGGTCCGGTAGGATTTTGAGAAACTTCTCCTACAGTTGCTACTGAATCGTCTTCCATTAATTTTTTTTTTTACAAAAAAATTTTATTGAATTAAATTATTAAAATTATTAAAAATTAAAAATTATTTTAAAAACACATAATATATATAATAATTAATATTAATGTGGTGGGTATCAAGAATTAGAATTTTTGTTCCCCTTATAAATAAATTATTCTAATTAATGATTACGCAATGAATGATAAATCTATCTTGATAATAATAAAGTTTGTATGACTAAATACTTAATTCTGAATGTGTTTTTTTTTTATTTTATTTTTCAGCCAAAAAAAAAATAGACCCGATCACGTGATATAGTAATATAATAATAATAATAATAAATAAATTTACTTTTTTAAACAAAGTTGATATTGTCATATTGTTAATCTTTTTAGTATATACACATATGGCAAATAAACTTTGGTGGGGAAGAGTGGCTTTGTAATTGGATAATAAAGTTCATAGAGCCACGCGACTGTGGTAATCGGGACACGTCGTGAGTGAATGGATTGAAAAAGAATTGATTTTCTATATAAATATTTTCGTTATGCAATCATTTATTGAACATATGCAGTCCAATGCATATTAATATGTAATAAATAATATTTAAAAGGTTAAGGCTAAAAATTGATTTTCAATTAGTTATTTTTATAAGAAATCCTTTCTAATCTTTTCTCGAGAATTTTAAGCATTGAGTGATGATAAAAAGATTTTTTGTGTTCTCATGATTTTCCTAGTTTTATTATAGTTATCATTATTAACCTTCAATAATAATGGATGGGACCTGCTTACCATCTTCTATTGAAATATAATTTGGTGTAATTTAACGGCAAACTTTATTGAGTAATCAATCAATCAAAATAATATATATACTTTTGTTGTTGTTTGACAAATAGTAAAAAAAAAAATCAGAAGTTGTATTACAATTATCACATGTCGAATTAGTAGTCAATTTGAGTCTGTCCAACATTGCACAAAAAAAACTTTTTGAAGTATGTATATGCACTGAAACTTTATTTTGAAGAAGGAAGGAGATTTCATAAATTGTTAGTTGGTAATAATAAACAGCATTTGATTTTGTAATTTTTATAATTTTTGTAATTTTTGTAATTGTTGAAGGATCAAATCCTATCTCTTCCATTTAATCAAACTTTTTGCTAATTGATTTTAATTTATCAAGTATTTTGCTAAAATCTGCAACGTATCTATTACTATATCGGGTATAACAAAAAACGTGTTGGTACGCGTCATCAGCCACATGTAACATTAATAAAATAAAAAATACCTCAAAAAAAAAAAACAAATTTATTCAAAATGTCTAATGTTATTTCATCCTTGGAAAATGTCAAAACATTATTAAATGATTTTATCAATTCTAACAATAATGAGGTTTTACCATTTAAGCATATCAGCAAGGTTATAACTGATTTAACGGGACTGTTAATTGAATCAGATTTTTATGATGTAGAAATTAGAGTTGGAGTTGATCAAGATGTCAAGACTTTTAAAGCTCATTCTACTATTTTGAAGGCAAGATCTTTATATTTTAAAACAGCATTATCACATAATTGGATGAACAAATCAGAAAATGGTATTATTTTGTTTGAGAAAGAAAATATTTCTCCAAAAATATTTGAAATTCTTTTAATGTAAGATTAAATTAACCTGATCTGATTCGATTCGATTCAGATTTGATGGGTTAATGATTTTGTTCTTTTTTTTCTTAAGATATATTTATAATGGAATAATTAATACAGATAATCTGGATCTAAATGAGATTATTGAACTTCTTGAAGCGTGTGATGAGTTGAATTTTAATGATTTAATTGATGATTTACAAAAATTTTTAATTAAAGAAAAAAAAGAATGGATTCAACTGAATATAGTTGATCTTTATAATATTTCAACGAGACACCAATCATATAATTTGCTTCAAGATTATTTTGCTAAAAATCCAGAGCTATTTTTCAAAATACATGATTTCAAATTAATTGAAAAACCAATGCTTAAATGCATTTTAGAAAATGAATATTTGGTATTAGATGAAATTGAAATTTGGAATTATATCGTTAAATGGGGGATAGGACAAAATTCAAAGTTGAAAAAAGCCATTTCAAAGTGGAGCAAGGACGATTTCAAATATTTCAAAACTTTATTAGATGATTTTATTCCATTTATTAAATTCAATGAAATTACATCCAAAGATTTTTATCTAAAAATCTCTCAGTTTAAAAACGTCTTTGATAAAAAGTTTTATAAAGAACTTCTCAAAAGTTATCTTACCGATGAATGGGAACCAAGTCTATTGGTTCAAAATAATCATAGGACCGGAGGAAAATTAATAAATTCAGAAATAAAAGCTTTAATCTCTAGCTGGATCGACAAAAAAAATGATAATAATAGATATAATAAAGATGATCTCCCTTATGATTTTGAATTAATTTTACGCGCAACAAAACATGGGTTTGACAAATCAGATTTTATGGATAAATGTTATAATATCCAACAAACCGTGGCCGTCTTCAAAATTAAAGAAACGGACGAAATAATTGGTGGCTATAATCCGGTCACTTGGAATAAGAAAAATGCAAAAAGCGAAATGTATTGGATCCAAACAAATGAAAGTTTTATTTTCAAAATTGATAAAAACCAAATTAATAATTCACTGTTAAGCAGAGTCGTAGATTCCAAGTATGCAATACATAATCACGGAGATGCTTATCATCATACTGTAGCTAATATAAAATTCGATCAAAAGTTCATTAATTTTAACGATTTAAAGGTATATCATAGTACAACGAATGAACCTTATTGTTATTATAGGATTAATAATTATCAAAATGATTTGAATCTTAAAAATCGTCGCAGTAAAGGTGTTCATTTGTTAGAAGACTATGAAGTGTATAAGATAATTAAAAAAATTGAAAATTGAAAAAATAAACATAACCTTGTCTATGTCTATACACAATTCAATCCATTCACGATTTTTTAAGAGAAAAATTTGTTTCTTTTTTTTTATTGATGCAAGAAAGAAATAAAATAAAATAATGATTATTATCAATAATAACGATAATGATAATATTTGTGGACAATAATGTTTAATAAGCAAACTTTTAACAATTCCTATTAATTTATAATAATCATTTAATAATCATTTTTGTAAAGTCAATCCAATTCACTCATCCAAACACTTGTAAGATGATGATGATACTACCTTTGTGTTCAAAATTTACTTGTCAGTATTTTGGTAACACTTCATTTTGGGTAATTCAATCCTTAACCTTTTTGTCATATGAGGGGGGATCATGGTCCAATTGACGTTTTTTGGCCTTCTTACCATTTTCGAGAACTGGTTGACGAACTATGATAAAATATAGATATGAATATTTATAATCTATTATAATTAACATATTTTATATGATATCTACTAACCGTTTCTAGAAGCTTCTCTTCTCTGTAAGAATTCTTCTTTTTTTTTTTGTTCGTCATTTTTTACAACAATTTTTCTTTTAGCCACGGGTTTTTTACCAACAGCTTTAGTTGTAGTTCTAGTAATAGTGATTCTTTGTTTTTTTGATGAGGTGGAAGTGGATTCAATAGGTTCGTTTTTTTTTCGTTTTGTTGGTCTTATTGCAGCAACATGATCAACCGAATTTACGTTATTAGCGGAAGTATTGGTGGTGGCGGTGGCGGTGATGTTATTTTGATGAATATTGTTAGTCTTTTTGCTGAATTGGGCTAATTTGTGTAGATCTTCTTGAATAACAACGTTATATAATTCAGTGAATTTATTTTCAATATCGACCATTGTAACTGGCCTCGACATAGCATCAGAATCATTGTTTGATGAGGAGAAAGTGTCAATATTTGCTGTTGCTATATTATTGTCAAAAATCTTATTGTTATTGTTATATCCATTTTCGTCATTATTATCAGCTGTATTGGTGTTTTCAGCATCATTATCATTAGTCCCAATCAATTTTGATGGTGATTCGCCTGTGTTTGGCAATGATGTTAGAGCGGTTTCGATTTCTTTGATCTTTTCACCCAATGACAAATACTCTTTAGCATCTATTGTTAATAGTTTTGCTGCAGGCTCTGTTTCTTTAACCGTTTCGCCTAAGGTCAGGTATTCTTCAGCAACCTCGGTAAGTTCAATTTCTGAATAATAAATATAATATTTAATATTTAATTTGATTGGATCCACATAAGAATATAATCATTAAACACAATTAATTTACCGTTTGCAATATCATCATTATAATTATTATGTGTTGTTGTTGTTGTTGTTGCGGCCGTAGTTGGTAGCGTTGATGATGAAGAAAATGAAGAATACGCTGATGATGGCGTATCATATTTTGAAGCTTCTTCAGAACTTTGTTGTTGTTGCAGTTCACAATACCGTTTAAAACTCCTTTGTAGAATATCAGAGGCTATATTTTTTTTTTATAATAATTAATAATTTAATTTTTTCATTATTAAATCAGCAATAATATAAATCTAAGCAATTATGTTACCATTATAATCTCCCTCCTCAATACCAATACCAATTTGTCTCATTGTTCGATGCAACAACATTTCTTTTAATTTTTCATTCTATTATTCAAAACATGTTAATAAATTTTCTGAAATATATTTTTTTTATTAAAAAATTTATTTATGACTAATGATTTATTACTTTTAGATTTGCCTTATAACCAAATTTTTTACAATGCGCTTGTAATTCTTTTCTGTCCATAGCTTCAATCATCTTCGGATCTAAGATTTTGTCCGTGATTTCAACTTTATTGGATTGCATTATTTAATTCTTTTATCAAAAAAAAAAAAAAAAGTAAATGATAAAATGATAATTATAAATCAACTGATTATGTAATTCGCGTCGCCTAGAAATATACAAGCACATTTCTATGGAACGAATTAAATTCGACACACGTGATTGTGATGAGATTGTTCGAAGATTATTAACAATTTATTTAGTTGTGAAGCTAGATAGATGGTAAAAATCCTATGTTAGTTAGTAGTTGGTCCTTGCGATACAAATGTATTTACAAAAGCAACCTGATTACCAGATCAGTATAGTGAAACTTCAAATGATTGATTTATATGGATCTTGTGACATCATAATAATATAATTTTTCCGGTTTATTTTTACTAAATGGGACTAGTGCTTGCTTGTATTTTCATCAAAGAAAAATTGTTAATGAAAAAATAAAAGATATTATATAAAATAGGGGCAGACTTTTGTTTTGCCAGTGTGTCTTTATTAAGGTTTCTGGTCGAAACTACCTCCCTTAGTAGCTGAAATTGCCGAAATGCTTTGGACAAAAATTTATTTTTTATAGGCCCAGGCTTATAGAAGTTTGCCTAAACTAAATTGTGATGATGCCGAAACTCAGAAAAAAAAGGTTATAGAAACTAATAATTCGAAACTCGATTACTTTGCCGAAACTTAATCACCGTGCCGGAACTCAATCACTGTGCCGAAACTATAATTTGTTTCCGAAACTTCAATTTTTGTTGAAACTATTTTATAATGATTAGACATTTTCTTTTGAAACAAATTAATTATTGTTGAAATACAATAAATTTTATTATTATTGTAAAAATTTAATATTATTATTATGTAGAAGGCGTTATAATTCTTTGGTTACATTGGTGGTAAGTTTGGTGAGGTGTTTGCTTTGGCAAATTTTTGTGTTGTTGGAAAATGTACTAGTTGAATACCATATTCTGGATCATTATCTTTTAATCTAAGTCTATGATTTCCAAATGTGAAAAACAAATGCAACTAAAATAGAAGAAGTTCTCTCAGATAATTTTTGATAAATACTTGAATTCAAGAAAAATAGATGCACAAACTAGAACAAGCTCTAACAAAATCATTGAGGATCATATTTATGTTAAACAAACCAACAAGCAAGAATTTTAAGACAATTAGCAAAAATGAATATAGATAATGTTCTGTCATTTTAAAGACTTTTCATTAGTTTACTTATTTGCAGGTCAAGGAAAATAAAGAACAAGTAAATTTGATTGATTTCAAATAGATATAATCACAATTTATTGAAAGAAAAATTAGAAGCAGAAGAATTCCCATGCCTGCTTTAAATTGGCCTAAGAAAAGCTCTACTCAAAATTTTTGATGAAAAGAAAACATCATGATAGTGCATTATTACCCAACAAAAAGTCAAGACCTCTAGAAGAAAAATAATTATCTTTTCCTTTTTGGCATTTTCTCAATAAGTAACTAGATTTCTAAAACCAATACTAATGTTCCACCAACCATGATTTAAAGGGTTCTCTTTCATGATTGAACACACTGATATTTTTTTATTTTTTTATTTAATTCTGTTATTTCACCATTTTTATTTCCAAATAGTTATTCCATTCGGCATATCTGTTCTTTCTTGAAATTTAATAGAAGGACCTTTATTAATTATTCAAAGATATAAATTAAATTAGAAATTTGTATTGTAATTTATTGTGTACTTAAATTTTACTATATTCTAATAAAGATTATATGGGAGAATATTGCTTTATAAAAAAAAAATAGTTCTTACATTTCCAAAATTTTATTATTAAGATCCATAATAATTGTTGAAATTTTGATTTGATTGTTGCTAGTTCACCTTTATTCTTCGAAGTTGCCTAAAATACCAGATTGATCATTATCATCATGTCAAAGCCTTTTATTTTTTTTTTTTCATCATTAAAGTTGCTAAATTGAAAAAATTCTCATAAAAATCGTCAATAACAACTATTTGATTATAATGTTTTTCACATAATAAAAAATCTTCTAAAGAATTAATTAATGGAGATAATTCAAGAAAATACTTAACTAATTCAATTATCTTTTCAACTGCAGTGTGTGATTCCAAGTTCATGAGTCGGTTTTACATGGAACTAATTGTCTCTCTGGATATTTATCAGCCATGTGTTTAAACAAACATGTTAAATTTTTAGCTGGTTGTCTTGTATTTGTCATGTCATTTGGGTAATTTTGGTAATTATGCAAAAAAAAATTAAAATAATAATAATTAATCGTAAATTCAGACTGAAATATTACCCTACAAAATATTAATTTCCATTTTCCAAAGGTTGCAAAGGTTGGACGATTTGACGATCTGACAGTGTACAACCCGTTACGCGATCATATTTTTTTTATTTATTTTTAGATAAAGATTAGAAACAATGAGAATTTTACTTTTAATAGTGATGGTGATGATGATGATGATGATGATGATGATAAAGATGATGATGATGATAAAAATAATGTTAATGGTGATAATGATTATAAAACATGATGATTATAGAAACATGTTATTAGTGATGAAGAAGATGACGATTACAAAAACAATGTTAATAGTGATAGTGGTTATAGGGATGAAGATTATGAAAAGGATAATCTTGACAAAGAAGACTTTTATTTTGAAGGTAACAGAGGCCATGATGATCATAGGTATGATAAAAAAAAGATTAATTCTGATGAAGATTTTAAAACTTGTAAACAAGAACCAAATCTTGAAATTATCACCTTTAATAATAATAAATCTTCATGTGATAAAGATGCCAATGATAAAGATGAAGATTTTGGAACTTGTAAACAAGAATCAAATTTTGAAATCGCTATCATTAATAATAAATTTTCATGTGATGATAACAAGGATAAAGATGAGAAGGATAGAAAATATAAATTTAATAATATGTTGATAAATAATAATAAAAAGGAAAAGAATGGAAGAAAAGAATGATAAACAGCCATGATGAAAAGCAGCAGAAATAAAAATAAAGTAACTTAATATCATGTATCTGTTTTTTTATAAAAGGATCTAACATTGCTAATTTCATCATTTTTATTTCTTATAAAGAGTAGATAATCAATAAATAAATTTTTTTGATGACTTGTATTCTGAAATATTATCTTTATCTTGAGATTTTGAGATTATTACTTGAGTTGAACTATGGATTTTCATGAATGCAAAATTTATTAATTCAGAAAAATTAAAATTGACAAAATTAATGAATGGCTCATTCTATAATTTAAAGAACTTAATTAAATAGCTAGAAAGCTATTATCATTACTTTCTATAAATATCTCAGACAAACAATTATGGTTCTTGATTAAAAAAATTAACATAATCTTTGGAATTCCAATCAAACGATTTATTAATCAGTGGCTTGTTGTTCCAAAAATGTTAACAGCTTTATTATTGGTATCCTGTTATACTTATTATTAATTATTATCACTATATTGATTTTTGTCCGATTTCCAAGAATAATAACTGTCAACCATAAAATATTCTATGGCTTGGATTTTTTGTTGTTCGTGTGATTCATGTGTTGATATTTGAATTTGAGAAGCAAAGGAGAATTCGTGTATAAAATAGAGAATAAAGAGAATTGTTGTTATTATTACTTCTTCATAGTCATTATTTAACATTGGTGTTGGTTGTCTTGTTGAAATAGAGTTGATAACTTTATCTGTCAATTGCTTAAATTACAAAATGCTCATGTTTCAATGTCTAAGTAGATAATCCTCTCTATAATTATTTGCACCTTTACAAAATAGATTGTTTTATTTTTTCATCATTTATATTGCGGGGTTCAACCCACGGAAATTCGTTTGGCCAGTTTGATATCTGTCATATCTTGACCTCATCGCATTAATAAATTTATTTTATTAATCAAATCAAACCAAATCAAATCTTAATCTAATCAGATTTTAATTCCCCATTATTATCATTATTATTATCATTATTGTTATTATTGTCATTATGTTATTATTATCATTATTGTTATTGCTATTAATGTTCATATTACATTATTATTATCACGATCATTATTATTATTATTTGAGTTATTACTGCCATTAATGTTTGTATAAAAATGATTCAACATTAGTACTGTCATTAATATCCAAACTGCTGTCATCTTTGTAAACTTCTTCACCAAAGTAACTATCTAAACTTTTTGTTATGTTTGCGAGTGTGTCATCTAATTTGTTTGAAAGATTCCTTCTATTTAAGATGTTGTTTATTATTAAATTTCACAAAGCCTTGAAATGATTGTTTTTCTAATAAGCTATATTTATTATGGAAATTGACATTAGTTTTAAACTTTATAATCAAAAAACTAAATTCACTAAAAATAATCCATTTGAAATAATATTAATATGATTGAAATAAAAGTGAGGAGGAATAGTTAGGATGTTCGAAACAATTTTTTTTTTGTTATATGTTTTCTTTATTTAATTCGAATCCTTTTTTCTTTCTTGTCAATTTAAATTAATAATTCTATTAAGAAAGCAAATTTCTTGATTAAGAATGGTGATATTTTGCTAGATCCAAGGAAGAATTCTGATTCTTTAAAGTTTTAAGACACAAAAAACCGAAAATCGATATCCACATAATAGATTTTATCTGATTTGTATTTCATAATCCTCCAGCTAGTTCTAGTCATGAATACCCCATATTAACATGATTCCTGGGGAAACCTCCACTCAAAAGAAGTTTTTTTAAAATATCTCGTGATTTTTATAATAAACTCGAACTTTGTTGTTAGACTAAAATGAAAGTACTCCATTAAAGCTTTCTAATGAATACTCTTTCATATCAAAAGGTATCCTCTACATGAATTCACGGCTATTCAAAAACGGTGGATATAAATTTATTATGATAATAATAATAATAATAATCCATATACAATAATAAATAATATAAATACGTCAATACGTCAAATCCGTTAAATCAAGGTAAACTAATTATTATTATTATTATTATTATTATTATTATTATTATTATTATTATTATTATTATTATTATAGTAGATATATCATACCGATTTTTATTCCAATAATGCTGACGAATTTTATAAATTTGTCTTGTTTGCCAAACAACTCAAGTGTCGACTGAAGAAAGTAATATTTCACACCAAGGATGAAATTTTGCAGTTTCCTTAAAAAGTGGATTTTCCTCTACCAAGGTTCGTTAAAACTTTTGGAACAAAAAGAATATAAGAAAAGTAGAACCAAATAAATGAAAAATAGCCTGCTTCTCTTTTGCAAGAGACTGTTAGTAAGATTATTGTCCTAATCTTGAAATTCTACAGGAGAAATAAGTAAGTGATCACATTTTTATGTCCAAATTACAAGAAAGATGGCATTTTCTGAGCAAAACACCAGAATTGATTGCAAAATAACTAGGGAATCCAATTTTAATTATATACTGGCTGTAATGAAAATGTGCATACAGTTTCAAGACTTTTTAATGCTTCCTTGGATTTTATTATTGGTTGTTCATTGCTATCATCATCATCTTCATCAAAATTTTTAACAGATACATCCATTCTTTTTTTATATCCAACTCTTTCCAACAATATCACAGTACAAAATATGCAAAACATCATTATTTCCATAACTTTCATAATTAACTATTGATTTTGAATGAATTAAGATTGCATTGTTTAAATCATCTGGATTTGGTAAAATTAAATCATCTTCTGAATTAATATATTTCTGCAAGTTCTTCAATAATTTTATCATCTTCTGGAACCTCATAAACAATATTTTCTTTGGGAATATTCTTCAGATTGCATTTTATTAGATAAATTAAGCAGTAAGTGCCTCTGAAAGATCATTTAATACTGAATCATTTGTTGTTCTAGTATTATCAGATATACTGGATAATACTGCATTAACACTCGCTGGAAGAATTTTAATATGTCACCAACAGTTATGAAGAGTTTCAGGTGTGATTTCTTTTCAACTTTTTATTATGAATCTTATTGCCTGCAATACATTCGTTTTTAAATCTTCAATTCCTTTACCTTCTTTAATTTCATCTAGCATCCATCTTTAAAAAAAAGATCATATAAATACTTGAAAGTTAATACAATATGACAAAAAAAAACATACTTAATATGATGACGTCTGTAATGACTTTTGAATGACATGATTATTCCAGCATCCATTGATTGAAGTTTTGAAGTAGTATTTGAAGGCAAAAAATAAACATCAACATGTGAAAGAGTTAAACCATCTATTTTATGGCTTGTACAATTATCAAGGAACAGCAAAACATACTGACCTTAGTGGTTATAACATAATTATGTTATAACCACTTAGTCTAGGTTGTAATCACTTGGTTTAGATCTGTGTCATACCTCAAAGTACGATGAGTTTGCATTTGTGTCATACTTTTTGTAGGTTGAGTCGTGGGTTAAGTTGTAGGTTAAGCCTCTCAACGGGCCCCTTTGGTTATGGTTGATTTGAGTTTGATTCGTAATTTTAAACACTTGTCCAGCTTTTTTGTTTTTTCCCATATTTTTAAACCGCTGCGTCGACTTTGATTCCTGCTTTGGGTCCCGATTCGGGCTATGATTGGTTTATGAATTCGTCATCATTTTTGAGACCATTATAGTGGAGCATTAGTGACAACACGAAATATTTGATTTGAATTTTTCTACATTTATTGTAGGAGACAACAAAAAAAAATCCTTCTTACCTAAGATGAATGGTTAGTTGAGTGTAGTATATCTCCTCCTGCCAGAGGCATCTAACTTCAATCCATTCAGGAAAGAAGGACAATAATCAACTATTGGATCCTCATCAAGAAGCTCCTTACTAATTTGAATGCATTTAGCTTGTTTTTTAATCTCAAGCTCAGTAATAACTTTTTTAAGCTCATTGTTTTCGTCCTTAATCTTAGTAAACTCAGCATTTTCGTCTTTGAGTCTGTTATAATTGCTTTATTTTTAGGTCCCAAATCAAAAAATTTGATCATGCTTTTATGTAATAATTTTTGATTTGATTTTTTCCCGCATTTAGTAATCCAGGTTATTACTAAAGAAATTAATTGTACGATTTTGAGTCTGTCCTAATTTCACAATTCTAGCATTGTTCTCTTCATATTGATCATCTAAAGCCCTAGTGGTAATATCTAGCTCAATAACTTCCGTCACTAGGTCCCAAATTCTAGCATGAATCCTTTTCTTTCATGTTCTAACTCTTCAATCCTAGTATGAAGTTTGGAGTTAATATCAATGAGTGCTTCCTTTTCCTTTTTAAATTCAGCAATAACAGCATCAAATATCAAGTTTAATTCTTTAAAGGACTCGATACTCACTGGAGTCGATTGCTTCTTACATGTAACTATTATATATTTTTTTCGTGGAACCATTATTATATTTTTCTTTCTGGCAAGTAGTTAGTTGATACCTTCTTTGTAAATGTTCAATAATAAATTCAAGCCCACGGACATCAAAATATAGATGTAGTCTTCTGCCATTTTTATATATATATTTACGCAGAAGACTACACCTTATACCTTGGTTATTTGTTCATCAGGAACGTATTCTTTAACTTCTCTCGTTAAAACATGTTGTCTTTTTTTACTACCAAGTAAACCCAAAAATGGATATAAAAACGGGAGGAATTCCGTCCTAGTTCTGTCCTAATAAAAAAAAAAAAGTTAACTAGGATGAATTTTTTATAAGAGGAGGAGTTTTTTCCTTGATTTATCTTGTTCTTTTATACTTATAAAATCCGTCCTAGTTGTCCTAATAAAAATTAAAATTCTAGGAAAAAAAATGCAAACCCTTTCTATGGTATATGTGTATATGTATATTAATATGTATATCCAAAAAAAAAATATAAAAAAAAAAAATAAAAAAGTAAGAAATTCTGAAATTTTACTAGGACAACTAGGACGGGTAGTCAAAAACCCTTTTATTTAACCTAAAATTATCACCAAGCTATCTTTTCCCGTCTCAGTTATTTTTTTTTTTACTAGGACGGAATTTTTACTAGGACGGAATTTTTACTAGGACAGAATTTTTTTTCTAGGACGAATTTTTATAAGTATTCGAAATATAGTCTACTTGGGCTCTTTTACATCAATTCCATCTTGAGCTAGCTTTTCAAGCTTGTCCCGGTAGTATTCTGCCATTCTTCGGTGTTTTTTAGCATGAGTATCACAAAAACCATAAGTAGAAAAAGTTAACTTGCCACATTCATAATTAAATTATGTGTTTATTTATATTCTCTGGAATTAATTTTCATTTTGAATTATTTTATGCGAATATTATACTACCAGAATTAAGAAGTCAACATATAGTGAAGAAAATACTAAAATACAAAAAACGAAACCAACAGCGTCTTCTACCAACAACGCCGAGAGCGTTAAAGAAAACCAACTATTCTATTATTTTGGCGAAGGTTATTTAACAGGCGTCCCTACTCGTAATGAAATAATTGCAGGAAATGATGACGGTTTTACAACAATTCTTAAACAAGCTTTGGCTAAGCGAGAAGATATACTTTGCATGCCAGTTGCTATCGAAGAATCCAACGAATATATAAACAATATCGCTCATTACGTTTTACGTCTATATGGCTCTCTCATTAATGGCCAGAAAGCAGTTGTAACAATAACTGGTATTAAAGTATTCTTTGATATCCGCGTTCCTGAAAATAAAAATAATGATATATTCGAGTCGGAAATAAAAAAATATTTGTTAGTGGAGAAGACGATGATGGTAATATTGTAGATACGACAAACTTCGAATAGAGCACACAAGCATATTAATATTACACGGATATTGTAGTTATCCACAAAAAATATCCGCAATCGCCAAATCGATTTCTAAATAAGGATAACATGCACCCAACCCACCAATAAAAATTGGGTATTCTGAGGTTTCACGAAATTTGCGGATATTTTTTGTGGATAACTACACGATTATGTTTCGAATACATATATAAAAATTAATATTAGTATTAATATTGATTATTATTATTGTAATACGCGCAAAACAATATCCATCCATGAACTCGTAAATAACACAAATACGTGTTGTAGTAAAATTAAAAAATCACAAACGATCAATGAAAAAAGAATTTACAACATTAACAACCGTAACAAAAGTTTTAATAATAATAACAGTACCATGAGATTGGCGGCTTCACCTCTACCAATTCTAAACGACAATTAGAATCAATTCAAAAAACTAACCGTTGTTAGATCTAGCACCACCACCATCACCAACGTTAGACCTAGAATTACTACCAATGCTACTAGAATTAGTAATACTATTTCTTTTAATACTACAACGGGACTAGCAAACGTTTCTAGTGTCACTCTATTAGAATAAATAATGTATCTATTACTAGGCATATTTTACGAAATCTAATATCGCTCTCTTTCCTATTTTCTTCTGAATTGACCTATGTATATGTGTATAATTTAAGTTTTATTTGATTAAATAATGAAAAACAAAACAAAAAAATTTTTTGTAAACAAAAGTTATTTTTTTCTCAATTATAATAAAAACAAATTTACTTCTGAAATAGGTGTTGTTACTTGATTTTCATCAACACTTCCATTTTCATCTTCATAACATAAAAAAGAATCATTACTATCACCAATTAATTGATTAAAGAAACCGTGTTATTCATTCATTCATTTGCTGAATGTGCATAAATTATTTGAGAAAAAAAACAATACGTACATTTGAAGCCGTCTTGCTAAATCTTGAATTTCTATGGCCTGCTTTTTATTCGTTGCATCTAACTCTGAATTGATTTTCATCAATGATTTTATTGAGATTTCCAAATCTGCAATCTATAATATATATCAAAGAAGTTATTGATTAAGCAACAAGCAACATTTTGATAAAAAATTATAAAAAATAAATTGAAAGATCTAATACATATTATTTCACAAATATGTTCTCTTGTTACGCTAATCATATATACCTTTCTATTCTTTCTCGCTTCTTCCGCCTGTCTATCAGCTTTTAATTGTTTATTAGCAGCTACAGTAGCCAAATTAAGACTATCCGATTTTGTTTTCTCTGTTAACATTCCCAAAGAAGATTTTGGTCGTACTCGTGCAACTGTGTCTGACTTAACGGAAGAATTTCTACTAAGAGGATGGCTACTAATATTAGTAGTGCTACTTGAGCTCATATTAGAATGGGAAGAATGATTACTATCTTTATCAGAATCAGAATGATGAAATCCATCATCAGACTTGGATTTCTCTCTATCTGTTAATCCAATAGTACTATGACGATTATTAGCCTTTACATTATAATTATTAATGCTATTAAAATTGTTATTATTATTAATCTTTCCAGGCATTGTATTACTACGTAAAAGAGGCGAAGGTTTTTTTTGTGATTTTTGTGATTGTAGATGATGGCTTTGCTGTTGTTGTAACTTATTAATTTGTTGCTGCTGCTGTTGCTGCTGCAGTTTTGGCGACTGTTGTTTTGGTTGTTGTTGCTGTAGTATTTGCGAGTCACTCTCAATGCTAAGACCGTTTTGTACCTTTGGTCTACGGTTTTTTACTACTGTGGAAACGCGATCATTGTTCATCGTTGGTGAGTTTACTTGTTGGGTCTTCATAGGATTTATAGGTTATATATATATTTATTTCGCCCACAGATTAGCAAAAATTTTTTGCATAAGAGGTTTGATAATAATTTTTACTGTTAAAGTTGTTAAAAAAAAAGGAGAAATTAAAAGAGAAATGAATATATATTATTATATATATATTAATATTTAATACTAGTATGTGGGTGGGGGTTTTTTCCTAAAATTTTGGCATTTGTGCTACAGTGAAATGTATGAATTATACGTTGTATCACCAATTCTTTATCTCGAACAAAAAAAGAAAATTTATTGGTAATCAATCATT